TGGGTATGTGCGCGTCCACCCACATAAAAAACACACACACATGTTGGCACAAAAAAAAAACGAAGAGATCACACAAGAGGGGAGCTTGAATATCAGTAAAACGATCACAAAATCTCTCCGCAGAGGCATAATCACACTTCTCACGGACCTAAAATCAAACTCTGCACCGGCACGTACCTGCGAACAACAACAGATACTGAGCGTTTTTGCATAGCTTTTATTTTTCATCTAACATCCGCCGGAAAGACAAAGCGATCACTCGAGGTAGTCCCGGAAAGACGGCGTGATCAGGTGGCATTATGGAGATGAGGACAGACAGAAAGGAGAGAGCTGGGTATTTCTCCTCTTGTGATGGAGGAGGCGATGCCATTGTCTGCAGGAGGGAGGGATGGGGGGTGGGGGTGAGAGCATCATTGGGTGCTAAGAGCATATGAAGGGGTGCGGGGGTGGAGAACTGAGACGGAGCGGGTGGCACTGTGCCAGGCAGTGCCCGTCTGGCTGCTAAATACCTTTGTTTCCTTGCACGCCGACTTTGGCGCAAAAAAACAAGTAAAAATAATGTGATTTTTAAGGTTTAAAGCCTTCAGATATACAATTTTCATATAATATCTCTCAATTTCAACTGAATATAAAGTCTTGTACAAACAACAACAAAAATGGATTCTCGTTTTTTTTCCATGCAACACAAAATTCCCAACCCAACAAAAAATGTGCGCTGTAGCCCATTAGATGAGAATGGCGAATGAAACGAAGCCTTCCACCCCCACAGCACCGAGCCGACTGTATCATGCAAATCAAGCCCGAGGATGCAGAATAATCACAATGTTTCTGCGAGGGATGCTGAAAGACACATTTCCACATGCAGCAAAACAGCTCCAAGAGAATTAAACATCATTCTGTGCTATTATTACACCTTTTCCCTCTGGAAAAGCACTGCACACCTCTCGCACACACATTCGGTAATGCTATTTTTTTCCAAGATCAGACAGGAGATGGTACACATATGCAGGGACTAGACACAAACACACATGGGCTTCCAACAGCACAGTGTTCTTTGAAAGGGACAACGGGTCTTGTGTATGAAGAAATCCTGCCGGTGAAAGAAAATAAAAAGGTTTGGAAAATTAGCGACAAATGCCTCCCCCCCAGTTCGAATACATATTCATAAAGAGCCGCTTCCAGGGCACCATCGCCGCTCGGGTAAGACATGTCTCTTTGTCGCTTCTCGATTATTCATTTTCTTGATCG